AATATATAATATATATATATATATATATATATATATATGTATATATATATATATATATATATATATATTATTAGATAAATATGCAATAATGTCATTACGTTATTAATTCGTTAAAAATTGTCTTCGAAAAATGTTGCATTATTTATAATTATAATAAAATTATTTAAACATATTGATACCGTATCAATATGCTAACGAAAAATACTGCTTATTGCTTTGTATTTTTCTGTAAATACATAAAATTCAAATAATACATAATGGTACATGTGGTATTTTATAAAAATCTTATATGAATGCATTGCATAATCAACATGAACATGTAAAAAAACGCAATCAAGAAAAACAGCTGTATCTATAAGAAATTTGGCATACACTTACAAAAAAAAACATCTATTTTACTTAGATCTATATATTCTGAATCATCTTTTATCGAAAAAATTGTCTGTGAAAGTAAATGCTTCTAAGTCTTCTGATCGGCTATAAGTCACTTTTAAAGGGATTTTTATCAATTAAAAAGAATTCAGAATAGACCTTCTTAAATGATAATACAATATTATAATATAATATTAGTACACAATATATTGATTAATATATTGATTCAAAATTCTTTTCAAATGACACTTGCATTATCTCAAAGCAAATAACACATTTAGAAAAGTAATACATTTAAAAACTTATTTTAATAATACAGCTAATACTATCTTAAAATGCTACTTTATATAATATTTTTTGTAATATCTAATATCTAATATCTAATTTTAAAATAAACTAACAAAATATATTCTTATTACACTTATTACACTAAGTACACAATTAAATTTGTGTTTAATTTTTGAGAATGTTATAGTTTTTCTGTAGAATCTCATTGAATAATGAAATATTTTTATAATGTGAGTGTATACATACGTATATGTATGTATAATAAATGTTGGAATAGTTTGATAAAAATTGATAAAAATTATAAATTGTAACATATATTAAATCAAAATAAACTAATATTACTACAAAATATTACTAATGTATGTTATGAATATATCAAATAATAAAAATAGATGAAAATAATGAATAAATATAATTCGATGCAAAAAGATTATAAAAAAAAAATTCTTACTTTCTAAATATAGCAATACAGATATATCGTGTTCATTAGTCATTTATTAATCGTCAACTGTCGCAAATATTAAGCAATATGACGTTAATTAATCATGATTATAAGTAATACAGAAAAAATTAAGTTAAATTAGAGAAAGTATATATTCTAAGTCTGGATCGTCTAATCTTATATTTGTTATCATATCTTTAGCTTTTTGACGATATTCTGCAAAATAAGGTGCATATTTATACGTATTTCCCTCCTTAACCACAATCTGCCACTTCTCGCAAAGTTCTATTTTCAAACGTTCAGGAAACATTTGACATTCATATAATTCATACATTGCATCGTACAATTCAGATAACGAACTCTTTTCAACATTTTCATAGTTCTCTTCTTTCAATTCGGCTTCGATATTATAAAGTCTTGTAATCATGAGCATTGCGAAAGGTGGCGATTGCATTGATCTGGGAAGAATAGTAACAATCGCAGGTATACAGATTATTTTAGGAAAATCAAATTCAGGTAATATAGCACAAACGTTAGTACAAATTTTGAGATAGTTAGCCATATCCCATGATACACTCGGAAATGATAGTGCTACATTTAACAATGCAATCTTATTTTCCGATGAGTCGTCTTCTATTTTCAACATTTCAATTATTCCGTACTTACTTTTCATTAATGATATCAAGATCTGTACTATTTGGCCATAATAAATAAGACGAAATTTTATCATATTATATAAAAAACATAAAATCGTGATATCATCACTGAACATCATATTGTTAGAAAATTTGTATGAGTATTCATTTCTACTTTCGTCGTAGTATATAAAAACGAATTCATTTAAGAGATAAGGTTGTCTATAAATATCAAATGCGTTGCGCAAATATATTACCAGCATATCGCGAATAATGTCTTTTGGATTAATCATGTTTTCAATGGTCTCAAGATTGGCGAAGTCTTGCAGGTAAGCGAGTTCACGGATATTCAAATAGCGTTTTCGCAAATAAGTTAAGTATCGCAACACATGTCTGTCACAAGACCTTTCAGTTATTTCCAGAACCACACGCATTCTTCACCAAATTCAAGCTAGTAAATGCCAAAGTTTTATATAAAAATATATAACATATAAACTAACTGCTTAGAGTTAGTTACGCCGTTTATGCTGCAACGTTATAACTTGGTTATAGACAGCAAAATAGGAATTCTCGAATTATTCACCTCTATAAGTTTTCTGTTGTTCTGAACACGGTTTTTTTCTGTGCCGTGTATACACTTCTCTGCTGAATAAGTCGTGCAATTTTTCTTCCTGCAACATGTAAAATAAGATGTACGTTTCTTTACAAAATATGAAGGCGAAATTTTGTACGTACAAATTGTACATCAATACTGTACGTACGAAAGCGTTGCTTTCAATCATACGTAAAAAACATAAGAATAAACAAAATAAGAAACCGAACATCTGACCCCATGAAAACTCCGTAAAATCTTTTCGAATAAATTCACATTTAATACATCTCGAATATTTATGATATAAATCTATTTAAAGAAATTGGTTATATGTATAGAAATTCTCTGTACATACCTATGTTTCTACAATTTTTTATATTTCCTGCAGAAAAATTATCAGAAAATTTTCTGATTCCAGACAGTCGTATTCTGAGTTATTTTATTTCTGAGTGACACTGAGATGAATAGACGGAGAGAAGTAAAATGAAGCAGTGTTTCCTTGGCGAGATTATGTGACTAATAACAATGTTTCCTTCATCTGATCGTATTATTAGCAATACACGTATGTTTATGTGTTTGTACTTATATATTCAAAATATAAATAACATCAGAAAATTTATTCAAAATATTATCTTAATTTAAATACTGTATTTAATTTAAATATTGTATTTTTTCTACAAATTCTCCAAATTGTTAATAAATAATTTTGTAAATTTATTTAACAGGCTTCCACATAAATAACAAAATACAAAAATAACATATTAATTTTATTTTAATGATTGAAATAATAACATTGAGATTTTAATTAAAAACAATTTTTTTAAATTTTTTAAATTAAAATTTTAATAAAAAAATAATTGAAATTTTAATGATTTGAATAATGATTTATTCGATAAAACACCTTTTTTACAATGTACATTTTTTTGTACAATAATTTTTGAGTATTATGTTATATAAATTTTTATACATTGTATTTAAAAAAAACGAATTATATAATAAACTATTTTACAACAGTAAATAAATTTTAATAAGCTGCATTAACTTTTCTTAATACTAACATTATAAAAAAATATTGACAATAAGTATTTTATGTATCAATATCGCCGAAAAGCGTTTGCGGTCTTGTATTTTTAAATTTTTATTATATATGCATATGTTTATAATAAGTAATTTTAAAAAGAATATAAAAAAAAATATAAAAAGAATATATAATACTTATGATATAAAAGACATATACGACATGTCATTTTACAAATCTAAATTGGAAATAATCAATTTTATAAAAAACAAAAATTTTATAATTTTAGAAGAAAGAAATATAATACATTTTTATAACTTGCTTTTATGTATCTATTTAAATGTCATTATGTATATATATTTAATATATTATATATATTAAAATGCTTTATTTTAACTAATCAACTCCTAAAATTTCTTTTATTTTTCATTTTAGAAAAAAATGTGTCAAATCAAATTTATAACGTTTCAAAGAAATCACATATTATAATATTGATTTGCAGATCGTGTCATTTTTTTATAAATATCATTTTGTAAATTTAATTATATAATTTCTTTACAATTTGATTTCTTTAATTATTCTGGAGAAAATCTCTTTGTAGATAAAAAATTTTCTTAAATAAATAATTATTTTAATTCTGTATATAAATACACTTGTATATGAAGTTAAATATAAATATTAGAAAAATATTAGTTAATTCTTTTCGATGAAACATTTGTACATAAATTTATTAATTTCTCTCATGATTGATTTAAAAATTCATATCTTTTTTATATACATATTTTTTCTAAATTCTTAATATTTTATTTGTATAAATAATTTTGTTCCATTATTTTGTGCATAAAAGATAGTGCTATTGGAAAGCAAGAATTTTACAAAGTGTTTCATATTTTATGACAAATTATCTCAGAATAAAATATGAAAAACTATTGTTCATACCAAAATATTATTTTATGTAATATGTATACACATAAAAAAGATATTTGTAAATATAAGACACATTTTTACTGACAAATCTAAAAATTTAGTCAGCTCCATATCTAAAATATAATAATTTTGTTGAGCCTTCCAAATTATTATGTATATGCGTTCAAATTTATCGCTTGAAAATAAAAAAATTGTATTATTATTCTACATATTTAGCATCCTATGTAATAATTTTGACGGTTCAATAAAATTATTTTCAGATTTGTATCCAAGCAAATTTTTAGATTTGCCAGCAAAACCATTTTCTCTGTATTTTCTCTATGTAAGCAAAAGTTGTTTTAGAATTTCTAATGTATGATGTTACAAGCTCTTTATTGAATAATAAAGAACTGACACGATATGAAATAAAAGAAATAATCTTTTCACAGGAATGTCATATTAATCTGAAATCTACAATAATGAAATGTACATATTGTCTTCGGACAAAGGAACATTTCCTTTTGTCAAATAAAATTATATGTATTAGGCAATACGTCGATTAATTACCAATTATATAGTGGTAATTAAATGATAATACAAGTTATAATCATCGGAAAAATAAAGACGATTTTGCAGATGAATTCAAGAAAATGTTAATATTGAAAACAAATCATTATTTGTGCATAATTTAAAGTGCACAGATAAATGTAATTTATAATTACAAAAACGAATTTCATCGAATTCATCGAATAAAAAATAGATGTTAATTGTCAGAAATTGATTAATTTCAATTTTAGATATTTTAAAGTTCTTAACAATAATTCACATGTAACGCAAAGTGCATTCATCAAAAAAAGAAATGTTTCCTTCATTCTAAAATTAATTAATACAAAACAAAAAATAGAAAAAATTCCTTATCGTTCAATCGCCATTACAAATGCATTAGTAATTCATCATTGATCGTTAATACTTGACGATTTAATATTAATTTTTATATGTATTTCGTTGAAAAAAGAAAATGGAACACACTTATATATTACAAAATACATATTCTAAACTCGGGTCCTTTCATTTAAAATTTGATATTAACTCTATAGCCTTTTCACGAGCATTTCTAAATACGAAAGCATATTGAAATATATTTCCTATCACTTCCACAATACCACCCCTCCAGCACAGCTCTAATTTTAAGCGTATAGGAAAGATTTCTGAAGCTAATAATGTATGAATACGTTGGTACAACAAATACAAATATGTATCTTTTTGATTACCTCGCTGAAACGCATCCAATAAAACATTCATAGTTAGGAGAAATACGAATGGTGTGTCATCATCATTGAAATCTAATTTGGGAATAATTGCAGCTAACCATGGTGAACAGAAGACATTATGAAGAGTGCAGTCAGTAAATCGGTTAGCAAAAGAAACAAGATCATTCGACAGATTATAATTAAACATAAAGGAAGTTATGCTCGAGAAAGAGTGCTATTTTATAGAAAGTGATTATTTCTGGAAAAATGTCCTCATTTTTATCATGTATATCGTACTTCGACATCATTATTTTTATCAAGAAACGAGTAGCTCGGTCTTGACAAGCTTAGAATTTTCTATAATATGATACAGATAGTAAATAATTACGATATCGAGATAAAACATCATGTTATTAGAAAAGATATATTGCATTAGTTTGCCATTAGAATGGTAATAATAAACAAAGCCTTCAAAGGATCGAAGATTTTTCCATATCATTTCTGTGCATTCTCCGTGTTTTCTCATCATCTCTTCAATAATCCACTTTGGATTAAACACTGCGGGCATGTACGATCTATGCACGGGAAATTCATGCAGAAGGTATATTTCAAGAATGTAAGGCATTCTTTCAGAGAGAATAGATATATTTTGCATGTCCATCTTTAGCAGATCAAATTAACAGATATCTGTGTTTCATACAAATAATTTTCACTTTCCAATCTTGCGATGCTGCTTGACTTCGTGAGACTTTTTAAAACACTTCGTATGCCTTTTCTTTAATGTCAATCCTTTAAGTATGGGTGAAGCAGCCTCTACTTCTGAAAATACATAACATAAATACGTGAATTTCGCAATGATTGTTGATGCACTGCGTAATGTTGTACGCGTAAAGTTGTCTTATCCAGTCGCAGTTATGATAAATGTAAATCAAAAAGAGAGCATCTTTTCGATTAAATTTATTTTTTACGCTTCGAAATATATATAATATATTTCGATTTAGATACGTACCTGATTAATTAATATATTGTATTGTATATATTGTATAAGTTTAAAGAATACGTTGATTTTGAAAAGTATATTTGTGCGACTTCATTTTGGTTCAAAAACTTTTAACAAGCTAAGTAAGAATTATAATGAGAAAGCATGAAGAAAGATCATAAATATAACATAGCTATACCCATTATATTATATATTCCTCTATAGTGTATGTCAAAATTTGGAAATACAGATCGAAAGAAATACAAAAATAATTCCTTGTAATTGTTAGATATACAATTAATAATTTTTATCCATCTTTTCTTTTCTTCTTATTCTGCTTTTCTTTCTTCTCTTTCTGCTGTGCGCTGAAAATATGTAAATAAATGAACAATAAAATTTCTAAAAAATTATTTTTAGATGCTTATTATAAAAATTTTATTATTTATAATTTATTATCATCTATTTTTTAAATCGTTTCAAATTTTTAACAAATAATTTTTACAAGTATTAGTGCGACTTTTTCTATTTCACAAATTTACTTTATCTATATAATTATATTATGCTATAATTATATTTACATTTATACTATTATTATATATAACGTATTATTAAATGTAACGTATTTATAGTAAATATAATATATGTATATATGTATATGTATATA